TGTGGAGTGTTTGTGGAAAAGGCTGGCGTAATCTCTCAGCTAACAGCATTTGGACTTTATTTTTCTCATAGTAGAGAGCCACCAAAGTTGGGAGGAAGGGGCAGCGAAGGCGATTCCTAAGTAATATTTCAAGAAGATTTAGCTAACCGTGATATACAGACTTACTCATCAAATCTCAGAATACTAAAAGAAGTTAGTCTTGGGAAAAATAAATGAATCCCCTAAGTAAATAAATTGAATTTATACATACATACATGTGTGTGTGTATTCCATTACACAGTAGGTAAATGATGAAACTCATTACTCCAGGAGAGGTCACGAACAGAGTAGATCAGCTCATGAATGATAAATCAGAGTGTGCAAGGCTATGACCCTGACCTTTAAAGTTACTCTCATTGGCGCCCATGATCTACCACAAAGCCTCCCCTGGTACCACCGTCAGAGATGGACCGCTACAAAACCTCATGGCCTCCTGTTTTATGGAAAACAAGGCCAAGTCCCTTAATATGAGCAAATGGTTACTTATATTAGAAAGCAAGGCTGGACTTGTGAGTAGACGGCATTATCTTCCATCCATGGAATATGATCTGAGAGGCTCAAAGACAAACTTCTGTCTGAAAGTATATTCCTTATCACATAACACTTTAATCTTAAACCATACTACTAGAGATAGATTAAGTCTTGAAAGTAATTGGGGGAGGGAAACAGTAAGAGTCCCCCATTACTGTACCTAAGAAATTTTAAAGTATAAATATCCTCTGATTAGGAAGTCATACTCCTTGGTATTTATCCTTGCATTTGTGAGAAACTGCACATAAACTTGGCATAATAGCAAAATAGGAAACCAGAGGGTAAGTCATCAGAGCACTGGCTAATCAAAATCAAGCACCTACCTACAAATGGAATACTCTACAGCCACTAAAAAAATAAAGCCACTGTGTAGTTGCAAGGGAAGATCTCATAAAGACAAGGTGCTCTCAGTGAAGTAAGCCAGGCAGAGAAAGACAAATACCAAATGATTTCACTTATTTGTGGAGTATAAAAATAAAGCAAAACAGAAGAAACAAAATAGCAGTAGACTCAGAGACACAGAGAAGGGACTAGATGTTACCAAGGGGTGGGGGTTGGAGAAGAGGGGGAAGGGGATAAAGGGGCACAATAATGCACAGTCACAAGGTAGTTTGGTCACAGGGATGATAGTACAGCCCGGTGAATACAGTTAATGACTGTAACATCTTACTACATTGACAGATAGTAACCACACTAGAGGGGTGAGGATTTAATAACATGGGCAACCGTTGAACCACTGTGTTGTATATTTGAAACCAATGTAAGATTGTATATGAATGATACTTTAATAAGTAAAAAGGCAAGGTGCACAGGAGTATGCTTAGCATGCACTGTTTGAGTGAGGAAGATGCACAGCTCTCGTAGACTCTTGGCCATCCAAGAGACTGGCCGTAGCAGTCACCTCTGGGAGGGAGACTGCCTATTCTCTGTACTCTACTTTTTTTACTTTGTCCTCTCTGTTACCCATTTTTCCAAAGTAAGTCCCTGTTAATATAGAGGTTCTCCTGAAAAGGGGGAAACTTTAAGACTTATGAACACCTTGTGAGAAATGGTGGCCTTGATGAGAGGAATAAGCCCCTCAAAGAATGGATCTGTGAGGGGGTCTCCTTAGAGCAGTCAGAGCAAAAGCCTGGCCACCTTGGAGGTCGGTCCCCCTGTGTTCTCCCCAGAAAGGGCATTTGACTTGGAGGAAGGGTGTTGGCGGTGGGGTGGGGGGGGCTGTATGTGAGTTGTGTCAGAGCCTGTCCAGCCCCCAGGGGTCTGAATTTTCAGAGCATGTCCCAGTATTCATCACCCCGCATGGAAGTTTGAGACGATCCCTTTGGCTGCTGTGTGGAGAACAGACTGCAGTGGAGTAAGGACTGAAGCAGGGTGATCATGAAGGAAGCTAGGTGCAGTCCAGGGAAGAGACGGAGTCTGTGCAGGGAGGCAGCAACAGAAGGAGCTGAATTCTGGGTTTATATTTGATGGGAGAGGTGACAGGGTTTGCTGATGAATTGCCTGCGAAGTCAAAGATGACTTAAAAGTTTGTGGGCTGAGCAACTGGAAAGAGGTAATTGCTACTTAACTATGATGGGAGAAGACTGGGAGGAATGGGTTTGATCACTGGGCCCTAGAATGATACCCAGCTGAGAGTGTAGAGCACATGGAGATAGAGCATGGTCAGGGCTCATTGTCTTTCCCAGGGAAACGTGGACCTGGGGCCAGCAGTTCCTCCAGGGATTTTGGTCTGATGTTGACAAGGAAATCCTTGTGCTAGGATCTGAATCTCCTGAGTCATCTTCAGCCTCTTTGCCCACTTTGGCCAATTCTGTAAACCTTATCAAGAAGCTTGAGAGGAAAGACAACAGTGAGCTCAAAGAGGATAGTCCTCTGCTTTTTAGGTCCCTGTGGGATTTTTTCTTCCTAAAAAATCCATTTTTATCTGTTTACTTTTGAGTTTAAGGAAAAAGAAAGAGGATTGAATTTACTAAATTGAACGAACTCTAAGGTTTCTTATAGCTTTGAAACACTGGGGTAGTAAAATCTTCAAGACTTCATAAGTATGTGCCTTTATGATAAACCCACAGCCCTGCCCAAGGAACTTGCCTACCATCTGTGAAAGGGAAGGACACGAGTCTTGCCTACTTTTCCACAGTCTTAGCAGAAACCAAATAATACACAGTGAGTGTGAGAGAGCTTTGAAAGGGGCTGTACAAAATGCCAAGAGTCTCATCACTAGGATTGTACAGGGTCTCTCTGAAAAAGAACAACTTCAAGCCCTTAAAGTAGAATGTGAGGGGCTTCCTTAATCACTTTGCTTAATCAATCAGAATGACCCAAAATACAAGCTTAGGTTAACATACGCCTCCTAGATTAGGGCTACTCAGGGCAGGCTGAGCAGATGTGGAGACAATCCCAGCCTGATTACTGTACCTCAGCATTTAATCATCTCTCTTCCAAGGGCAGCCGGCTGACTTAGACTCAGGGCTTGCTGGGTTTCCAGGCCACCGGGCCCCTCCCCCTGTCCCTTGCCATGGCCATAAAGGCTGCTAGGTCAGAGACACTGAGACGATTTATTCTAATCCCATGTCAAAATGGCTGTGTGTGTAAGAGAGATTCTAAAATCCCCGCAGTGGGATGGGAATGCATTTATTTAAGGTGGAAGTAGACTGAAACTGCATGTTGAAAATAATGAAATTGGGACTTCGAGCATTTGAGGTTATGAAGTGAGCCCTGTATATGGAATTTCGCCCTCTGAAAAGCTTTCAGATACCATGTAGTCACTCACCAGTTATTCACCCTCAAGGCAGCTTTGGGAGTCATTTCATCAGCCAGTTGTAGAGGCCAAATTTACTCTTTCCCTGATTGTGAGGTGATGTACAGAATATGAAATCTTTAAAAATGGTTTTATTTGGAAGATTCCTGAGTGTAATAGTTTGTGTTACTGTTTTCTAGCCTGGGAACTCCCATTCTCAAACAGCCAAATCTCTCTCAGGCTCACCAGCTTCAATCACTCGGTCCCTGGGAGGGACACCTGTGATATCTCAGAAGGCAGGTTTCATTTGTGAATGTAGGAAACATTTGTCAAGCACCTGCAGAGAGCTGGAGGCTCAAAGATGGAGACTATCCCTCCGTTAGGGAACTTAATTCACCTTGGAGACAAGCTGTACACACAGTGAAAAAGAATATGACCATTGCCTCCATGGAGGTCAGTACAAAGTGCTGTGGGGTCTCAGAAGAGGAGCTAAAACACTGGAGCTGACTGTTGAAGGAAGAATAGGAGCCCATTCAGGGAACCTAACAAGGATGGTCATCACACAGAAGTTAGCAGTGTGTGCAGGTCATGGAGACGTGCGCGGGGAGGACCTTAGTCAGATGGTTCCCCTGGCCTGTTGCCTCTGAAGCTATGTTAAGACCAACTGATGGCACTCCTTGTGCCTCACACTGTGGGGAACAGAACAGGCACCAGGGTCAGGCCTGGCCTTGAAGGAGCCCACAGTCAGGCGGAAGGCCTATCTACATAAATTAACTGGGGCAAGGCAGATACCATGCTACTGCCCCAGTGCTGCCTGAGAACCCAGAGGAAGCTGGGTACTGCAGAATATCAGAAAATATTCTGATAATTCGGTACTGACTGGCGCTGGGATGCAGCAGGTTTCCAAGAGGAGGGACAAATGAACCGGGGACGCTGTTAAAGGGGAAGGAGTGGAGAGAAGGGGTTCAGGTAATGAACAACCTGAGCAAAGGGCTAGGGAAAGGAGTGTGAGCACTGTGCTGGGGAGGCCAGCGTAGTTCAGGGTGGTGCCTTGAGCACAGGGTGCCTATGGGGAGGGCGGGAGAGGAGACTGCGGAGCTCGGCCAGGGCAAATCACAAGAGGTCTAGAACACCATGCCAGACATTTGAATGTCATTGTAGGCTTTGGGAACCTTTTTAACATCATGGAATTTGAAAAGTTTGAGGTAGAGGAGTGACGTGTTATAGAAGGGTGGCACAGATGGCAGGGAGGGGTGAGCTGGCAAAGGGATTGACTATAGAGAAGTTGAAGAGCCATTTGCAGCAAAGTTCTGGGCGAAAGAACTGGAACCCCACGGCTCTCTGAAGCCCCTCGGCCTGCTTTCCTCCCAGCCTCAGAGAGTGTTGTGTGTGTGTCTGGCCGCCTCTCCTCTCGTCAGGCCCGGGCATCTCAGGAGTGAGGGGTAGTGGGCCAGGCCTTCCATTCCTAGTAACCTGCACGAGGGTGAGCCTCGATTTCCAAAGATGACTGTCACCAAAGCATCAAGCCCCATTTCATGTTGCATCATCAAATACTTATCCCTAAACTGGCAAGGCTTACCTGTGGAAAATAGATGCAATTTAACATGTAAAATAATATTTTGTTTGAATCTTTTGTATTAGAAAATATTCTGATAAAATCTCTCTTTAAAATTAATTTTTATTTTCATCAAAGTGATATATGGTTTTAAATGTCAAAAAGGAGTAAAAGGAGACTGTACCCCAGAGGCAACACTTCATGGTCTTTTTTCTGGTATGTATCTTTACTGCTCTAAATAATAATCTTATATCATTATTTCTTAAATTGATATTACCACAGTTTTTTGACAACTTGGTTGCTCTGTTTATATTTTAACTACATAAAAATTGTTCACTGCCAAGACAAGTATATTACAGTTATTATGGTTAATACTTGTAATCACCAGTTCTACCCTGTTCTAGAAAAAACCCTCTTGGTATAGTTTCCCATGTGATCATGCCGTTTCCCCTCTCTCCTACTCACACTTGCTGCACAGCCTTAGTCCTGGGCCCCTCGCCTGCCCCAAAGCTCTCTGTCTCTGTCTCCTAGGTATCTGTCTCCAAGATCCCATGACTACTTCCTTCTGAGTTTTCTCTCCTGTTTCTGTGGAGAGAAACATCCGTCAAAGCTTCCTGAGAAACATACATGGGTGGCCAGTGTTTAGTTCCCTTGCAATGCTGAAGACTGTAATCTGCCCCCACACTTAACTGATTTCGGGTATCAGTTCATGGGCTGGATGTAGAAAATCATGGGCTGAAAGCATTTTCTCTCAGACATTTGAAGGCATTGCTCCATCACCTCTAGCTTCCAGGCTTGCTTTTGAGAAGTCCAACAATATTCTGATTCTCACTTCTTTGTATGAAACTTTTTTTCCTTTGTGGAATCTTTTAGGATCTTTGCTTTATCCCTGTTCTGAAATTTTGCAAAGATGTCTGGATCTTTTTTCATCTTTAGTGCTGTCTAGTGGGCCTTTTCAATCTGAAACTCATGTTTTTCAGTTCTAGAAGTTACAATGTGTCTTATAATTTCCTTCCTTCTGTTTTTTTCTGTTCTCCCTAGAGTTCTGTTTTTATCAGAGGTTGGACCACTTCAGTCATATTTACTCTCCTGCTTTCCATCTTTTAATCTTTTCTGCTCTCTGAAAGATTTCCTTGATCTTATTTTCTCATTTTTCTTAGGAATGTTTTATCTATGGAAGTTTTTAATTTTAAAATTTTTCTCACATTTTTTTAATAAAAGCATCCCATTTTCAAAAATCTCCTCTCTCTAAAGATATTAGAGTGTTGGGACATCTGTTCTTGTTTTCTGCTGCCTGCCACATTGTCTGCTACCCCTGTGCTCCTTACGAGGGAGAAGCCGGGATGCTGATTGTCAGGCTGTGCTGGGCAGGGCTGGCTGGCCTGGAGACCTTGGGGTAAGTCTTGGCATGGCAGGCCAGACTTTTCATCGTGTCCCCCACGTCCCTGCATGACAGATGTCACTGCATGCTTTTTCTTGGGCCTCTCCAGGTCAGTTTCTTGGTAGAGTGGGGTTGGTAGGACTTACAGGTCCTGTCAGTTGAGTACAAACTTAGGCCTGACGTGTCTCACCCGTCTCCTCCTCTCTCTGTGGTGGCCGGCCCTCCGCAGCCGGAGTCCTCCCTGGACCCGGGAGTTGCAGCTTTCACTTTCTGATAGGTCAGAAGCACTTTACGTTAGCTTTGCATCTTCCAAAATATGTTGACATCCCTCATTTACATACTTTTTCCTCCCTTCACTATAATTTTTACCTTCAGGAAGAAGAGATTAGGATGTGCATTAACTAACGGGAAATCTTTTTTTTTAATTATATGAAATTATCAACTTTGCTTTCTTAGGAAGGACTTGCCCTTTTCTGAGATTACATGCCTCTTCATTTGTGTTAACCAACCCTTCTACTATGTAATAATAGTGGTGTTTGGAGCTAGTTGTGGTCTTTTTCTTAAGTTAATCCGAAAATGTATTTTTAAGTGTTATCTAAATAAATCTAATACTTTGTGAAATCTAAAATCAGAAATCCAATAATCAAGCTTTTTTGTTGTTAATAAGCTGACTCTGAAGGGGAGGGACAGTGGCCAGAAAACAGAATTGAGGGAGCAGTTTATTCAAACTGAGAGAAACTTGAGCATAGGCAGAAAGAGGGTTAAGAAGGCAGAGCAGAATATCAAAGAAAATTACTGGTGGCCTCTCTGTGACAGGACAGGCTTAGAGTTGGAAGGAAGAGGATTCGTGCTCATGCTTCCTTAAGTCGGAAGCATTTGGGGTCATCTCTTGGCAGGCTGGGGAGGCCCTGCCCTGAAGCAAGTTTCCACAATTTCACCAAACTTTTCTTTACTGATAGACAGTCTGTTTTAAAGAATTAAAGTGGTGTGTGAGAGGGATGTTTTTGTGTCTGAACAGTGGGTGTGCGATTATCTGAGGCTGCAGCCAGTGACTCTGAAGGGCTGGAGCTGGTTGCCCTGTCCAGCCAGCATCTGGGAAGCCAAGCCTGACCCCCACCAACAGTCTCCCCTTTTCTCCCCAGGACTGGTCCAGATCCCTGTGAGCATGTACCAGACTGTGGTAACCAGCCTCGCCCAGGGCAATGGGCCAGTGCAGGTGGCCATGGCCCCTGTGACCACCAGGATATCGGACAGCACAGTCACCATGGACGGCCAGGCTGTGGAGGTGGTGACACTGGAACAGTGACATGCAGCCATATCATGGCATTGTTTTCTAGTCTACTTCAAAATTTTTTTACACGTTTGCAGAGGTGCAATCAAATGGAATTAAGTCTCTCGACTTTGGAAGAAAAGTTTTGTTAACCTTTTTCTAAAAAGGAAGAAAGGCAGTGGATTTTAGAATTGCATTTTTTAAAGCACCACTCTTGAATTCCTGGGATTGGTGGAGAAAGATACTGCGTTGTCAATTTCACTGTCCCAAAAAAGCCAAATTGTGGCAGGACTTCTTTTTGCGGAAACGTGTGTATACTTACGTGTGTGTACGTGTGAGTGTGAATATATGTATATGTGTACATATGGATATACACATTTACATATATATATATAAAAAATATATATGTGTGTGCATATATATATATATATATGAAACCCGCATGGAATTATCTGTATGAAATCAAGGTGAGCTGTGGAAAAAATAATTCACCCAGTTTAGTGGGTGTAGGGTACGTGGCCAGACACAGCCACCCAGGTTTTGTTCATACCAGGGTCATGCGTTGAGCTACTGACAAACTCAGGCGAAGGTGACCATGCCCTTCACCAAAGCTGCCTCCCAGTGGCGATCCAGAGCTCTCCCTGCTGGACTCACTGGAGGAGGAAGGCTCCAGAATAGGGTGGGATCCAGAAATTGTGTTTGCAAGGTTTGGGGCCTCGAGGTCTGGCAGCTGAGATGCTCCTCAGACTAGCCCAAGTGCTGACCTTAACACGGGCAGGGGACAGTCCGGAAAGCTCCCAGGCAGGGGCAAGAGGGTTTCCTCAGCCTCCCATCTCCTCCCCTTCCCAGGAAACCTTGATCTCATGACTATTAAAAATGTTGCTTTGGCTTTATGGTCAGTCCTGAATTGGTCCTATGAACTGAAGGTAACAGAAGTATTAAGGGTTTGAGGAGCGCATGCACACAGAGTGCTTGTGGGTGTCGGGGGGGAAAAGGGGGAGAGGCTGGAAGGGGAAAGGAAGGAGGGGGAGAAAAATCTTCGAGACCAGGGTACACCAGTGGGAGCAATTTTCTCCTTTCCTGTAACTTTCCGTAACTTAACCGAGGGCACTGGCTCAAGGAAGGCTGGCCATCACACCAGGGGGCATTAAAAAAGGAAAGGACCTAGGGTGCTGCCTGTGCTCCTGGGCCAGGCCCCACACTGCTTCCTCCTCACAGGGGTTGATTGGTCTGGGTGTTTCTCTGTAACTGTTAAACTGTGTGATTTCTCAGCTATAAGCCTGGAGTCTCCAGTGACTAAATTCACCTGACTTTTTGACAGGCCAAATCTCTCCTCCTGAGTACAGGGACAACTCTTCCTCCCTCCTCCCTGGCCTCCATGTGTGGTAGTGTATTTAATGTTTTTTTTAACGCAACATTAAAAGATTCTTCATGTCTTGCTCAGCCTTTGAGAAAAGTTTCAGGTTCTTGTATTTGTTTGTTTTATATAAAATTATCCAATGTTCTTTGTATGTTTTTTTTCTGTACTTAATGGCGGGGAGGGAAGGGAAATTTACATATAAACAGTCCTAGTTCTACAATTTGTTATTTTTTTAATTATTATTTTTTATCATCATTGTGAAGCTGTCCAGGGGCTTTAAAGTCCATGTTCCTTTGTGGTAAACTAACCTCCTAATAGTTTGAGAAATTGCCAAGAAGAAGAAAAGCAAAACCCACGTAGCAGAGCATGGATTCTGTGTTGTTTTCCATTCTGTCTATTACTGCCTCATTCAATAAATAATTAACAGTGTGGCAACAGGAGGTGGACCCGTTCATCTCTGTAGAAGCACTGGGCTCTTAGGAACTCTCTTTTGGGGTGGCTTGCTGTGCTTTGTGAAAGGCGCTTGTGCTCAGGCTCAGTGGTGTCTGCACAGCGCTCCTGCCGCTATGGAGCTCTAGAAGGAGAGTGCCAGCACGGGGTCGGGGTCTCCTCCTGTCCCTGTCACCACAGCAGTTCCACTGAATCAGCTTTAGAAAATGCTGTCTGGGGGGCTGGGGAATCAAGTTTGAAATATACTGAAGAGGGTTTGAAAACCTCTACTCTGGTAGAGTTCTTTTTTTAAGGGATTAACTGCATTCCACATTAAAATCAGGGTAAGTGAGGTGCCAATCCACCGGGGTTCTCCCACAAGTGTTGTTCAATTCTGCCGTGGATTATCTTTGAAGCAGAGACCTCAAGCCATTGTTTCCCTGAGTCCATACTCCCTGGGTTCTCTCATACTCCCTGCTTTAATGTGGCACCTGCCATCTTTCCAGCTGTACTGCCACACCCCCAGCTTCAGGCCCTTCCTAGCTGCCACTGGTTTTGCACCCCCAAGCTTGTGGGGTCTGTGCCTCAGCTGGGAATGATGCCCTTCTTGCTGCCTCCACCACTCCCTTCTTTTCGTTGGATATTTGAGTGAGTTTCTGGGGGGTAATGATTAGTTGAATGGGGAAGGCCAGAGGTGTTTTCCTTAATGACCGACGACTCAGTGCCACCTCTCCCCCTTCTTCCACAAATGGCACACTACTGATTTTCCCCAGAGAGGGTGGACCAGAGAAAGAACTGACTGCAGCCGAATCACCCAAACATCACTGCCACTGGCTACTGAGGGACAACTGGGTTATCTGGAGCACCTTCTTATGGGGCTGGTGTCTCCCAGAGGTACCTTACTATACAGTACATTGTTTGCCTGGCAAGACCCAGATGTCATCTTTTCAGCAAGTATGTATTGGAAACTTTCTTTGGTGGGGACGATGGAGACCCTGCTTCCATTACTGCCCAGGTCGCCTTGGCTGCCTACAGAGAACTCTGCTGCCTGCAGGCTCCAGGTAGGTAAAATCAGTGAGTGAAGTGCAAGTGATTCATGTGTGAGAGGAGGGGAGTGATAGAGACGGGTGTATACTGGGGAATCTAAATCTGTCTAATGGGAGCAGCATCCCCAGAGTGCTAGTAGATTGTCACCGAGCAGGAGGAATATGGGCCCTGGAGCCCTGGCTTCAAACTTCCAAAGAAGCTGGGGAGTCCAGATTTGTGTATGAATCTCCTGCTTTCAACAACAAATTAAAATTTTTTTACATATGCTGCCTGCAAAATAAAACCCACCTGTAGCCCAGACCTCACCCCTTGGTCAGTTTTAACTTTGTGAATGCCTACCACATGCCAGGTGAATAAAGCGTGCCATTTGCCTGAGAAACGAGAGAAAACATTCATTTGAACAGGTTACTGCAATCCAGTGTGGTAATGTGGAGGGAGTCCTGCAGCAGAGCAAATTACCAAACTTTTTTCTCCTGAAGGGTGCTCTGCTTTAAGCAGTTTAGCACCGAAGTGCAGACAACGATCTGGTGCTCACAGAAACCAAGAGATGGGTAGGAATTCTTGGCTTTAAGGCCTTCATCTGAGAAGATCTGGCAATGCTGGTGACCACTGCAGTTACCAAGGAGAACCAGAGGACCAAGGAAGAAAAGGGGGTGCTCGGCTGCTGCCAGCAGGCGTGCCCTGGGTCTCACTCAGACCCAAGCAAGGCTCATTTCCAGCCGCTCCTTCCGCGGAGGAGGGCCTGCGCCTCCTGCATCTGACCCCTTCCCGCCTCAGTAATGCCCCTGAAGCGTTGGCTCCCGGCGTGGCGGGGTTGTACCAGGCCCGTGGTGGGTCCATTCGGTGTCCGCACCAAAGCCCATCAAGGAGGACACTGAAGCTTAACTGGAGCCGAGGCTGTGGAGTGAGGAAGAAGAGCCCACATTACCCCTCTCACCTCCATCTCAATGGGCCCTGATGCGGGAAAGCGCCTGGCGACCACTAAGCGTCGAAACCTCTCCAGCGTGAACAGCAGCATCACCAGGGCAGAATCCAGCTCAGAGTCCGGTCTCATGAGAGCAGCTGATTGGCCTGCTGCAGTCATGTGTCTGCCTCTGGGCCAATCAGCGATGGCCAGGGGACTCAAGCCCGACTGTGGGGGCTGGGAGGGGTACGTACTTCACAGATGGGGAAGGGAAGGCGCCAGGAAGTCGCCGTTCTTTCCGCCCAAGCTGTGGCAGCTTGGCAACATGAAGCTGGCTGCCTGCAGCCCCGAATTGCCTCTACCACAGATCCCTTTTGGGTCTGTGAATGTCTTGAGTCCGTGAATTAGGGGGTAATTAGGTAACTATGTACCCCATCAGCACACTCCCATCATCCCCAGTAACCTCATGGCTTTTAAAAACAGCTTTATTGAAATGTAATTTACATACCATTAAGTGCATCCGATTTAATACACAACTCCGTGGTACAGTTGACCTTTGAACAACACTGGTTTGAACTGAGGGGTGCCACTTGTATGGGGAATTTTTTCAATAAATACATTGGAAAGCTTTTTGGAGATATGCGGCAATTTGAAAAGCCTTTTCTCTAGCTTGCTCTACTGTAAGATTACAGTATATAATACCTACATGCTATATATAATATAAAAAATGCATGCTAATCAATTTAATGTTATCTGTAAGGCTTCCAGTCAACAGTACACTGTTAGCAGTTAAGTTTGGGGGGAGTCGAAGTTTATATGTGGATTTTCAACTGCAGTGGGGGGATGGGCGTCAGTGCCCCTAACCCCTGCATTGTTTAAGGGTCAACTGTATTTATAAAGTTGTCCAACCAGCATTATAATCTAATTTTAGAACATTTTCATTCCTGAAAGTTAAGGGATTGCTTTGAACACATCTCCAAAATTGATTTGAAACAAGTTTCATAAAAGATGTATACAGTAAAATTTCAAAAGTAGGAATGAACAATCAAGACCAAGTAAAAAGAGGCCACACATTGGCCAACTCTGAGGTCAACACTGGTGAGATGATGAAGGCTCCCATTTAGCTCTGCTTTTGGCCAAGACGTTTGTGTTATTAGAACAAAGGAACAAGTCATCAGGTACTCAAAAGAAAAAAAGCATTAAATACTTAAGTTTAAGGGAACTCCAAGATAGTTTGCATTCTGCACCTTCCACATTTTTATAGCCAAAGCAATGGCTTTGGTTATTTCCTTAGTAGGTTTTTAAATCCTGGAGCATTACTTTAAAACACCTGAATTTTGAAGGTGTTCTGGGAGGGCTAAATTAACGTGGTATTTAAGTGTTTATGTACAGATCATTAACTCAGGAAAAGGAGGAGGGACAGGTATGGCAGCAGTGGCCAACTGGTGAGCCATCTGCAAAGGCGCAGTATGCTGTTGCTTGGTACTTTCCCGTTCCCTCGGGCTGGTTGGAAGGAAGCACAAGTGAGAAAAAAGATGTTACGACCCCCACATTCTCCAGAGAGCCACCAGCCTTGGGAGCCACTCGCCTCCCCCAGGGCTTCCTAAGAGGCAAAAACAGCCTTGCTGCACCCCTCACCCCAGTTGGTCCCTTCTCAGTCCTCATCAAAGCAGCAGGGAGCTGGGACAGGAGCTAGTAAGGTCATTGGTCTTGAGGAAAATGCTTAGCTATTATGATTTCTGCTTCCCTTTCTCATCCTGCCTGCCTGCCCACCATCCTCCAATCCTCCCAATCCTGGAGAATCTGGACCAAGAGAAAGGGGAGATTTCTGTAAGGCAGACCACATGCTCACCTCAAACACTGCTGGCCCCGGAGTTCAGAAGAACTCAAGTTTTGAGATTAAAGCTTCAAAGAGATCTGAATTTAACGATGGACAATGTTTACAAAATTATGAAATACACTTAAAATGTCATTAAGGAACTAGAAAGGGTCAACAGAACATGGTAAAGTCCATGACTGCAGAAAATAAAACTATTCAAACTGGCTAAAGTGAGATGTTTTTAGTTCCATATAGAGAAGGCACTTGAGATTTGTGGGCTCATCTATGGCAATGAAGCGTTTTGTTTCCTCAGAAGGGCACATCTGTCTGCATCTCTCATACACACACACCCTATAACCTCCACAGGAAGTTGCCCTTGCTCTTCCGGCCTCTGGGACAAGGCAGGCAGGACACCACTGGGGTTGGCGGGGAGCACCCTGAAGACCTGCCAGGGTGTCTCTGTTAATGGAGCTAAGCAAGGCACCCTGTCTGGAAAGAAGGAGTCTTCACTGCTGTCTTCATCACCATCCCCAAAGGCTGCTGCCTCCTTCTCTGGCTGGCCTCTCATCCTGAGAAACCCCAATGTAACCAGTGCAGGGGGAGGTCTCCCCCAATTCCTGGAAGGTTCATGTCAGCCTTCAGCCAACACTTATGACAGAGCTTACAGGACCCTAATAATGGGACTGAGCCACCAACAGAACTCTACACCCACCAGCCCTGCCACTACAGGTGACTTTCCAGTATCTGCTAAGAAAAGACCCATGCACTATGAATGCAGAACTCTTCAATTAGTTTGTAGTTTGTTCTTCACAACAGCACATACATTTAGAAAGCTGTGTTGAGTTGAACAGTGCCTAGATCACAGCTGGGGAGTTTAGGGAGATGCTAGCAACCCCC